AAACACCCCCAGTTTATGAGCTGATACTTGTACAGCATATTCTTTAGTCCTCTTAGTATTCTAATTACCATTCTTTGAACACTTTCTGGTTTGTTGGTGTCCTTCCAAAAATGTTGCACTGAGAACTGAATACAAATGAACAGTTATTGAATGAGTGGGAATGGTTATGCATTGTTCTTCAGGGAAAAATTGTAAAACACCTCTCTTTTGACACTATTTGCTCTAAATTATCCAGGATAGATTGTCATATGGACAATATCATATCATATGGACAATATGCACCAAAATGCCACTTCTGTACTCAGAAGTTTGAGTTGGGTAGCAAGCATGTTATACTTCTAACATACACAAATGTTAGATGTCTCTACCATGGCAGAATTATTACCTCTAGTCTATTTCAACTGAAACAAAAGTTAGTTGTCTTCTTCACTAACTATCCTTTTTTACTTTTGTGTATATGTGATATGGCATGGCTAAAAAAATTAGTATATTTAGTAAGCACCTTTTTAAAAAATAAGTAACTCAACACATTATTACAGGGTGCAAATACAAACATACTAAATGATCAAAACAAAGTAAAACATGTCATTAAGAAATTAAAGTTTTGGAACCATAAAACTGAGAACAATAGAGTACTTTATGACATTCCTTTTTTTTTTTTAAATGAACTATCTTTGACCAGGTTACCAAGAAAGATAGTGATCATCTGAAATTTTTAGAAACTACTTTCAATGAATATTTTCATGAAATTTCTAATAACTTGATTTGGATTGGCAACTCTCTGAATGATGAATTGGCAACAGACGAAAAAGATAATTTAATTGACACATCAACATATTTTTGAACTATAAACATAATCCATAAATAGCAGCCTTACAAATTTTTTGGCTAAATGATCAAAAATGAATCTCTATATTTCAGCATGGGATTTTATAAAACTTTCCTATCATTTTTCACTATATATTTGTATGAGTGAGCATTTTCACTTTATTCTTGTTTTAAATCAAAACACAGGGGAAAAAAAAACTTAATTTTAGATTGTATTTGTGTAGTGTTGAACCAAATATTGCAAACTGTTTTTCAAATAAAAATGTCCAATATCCAAATTAAGTTTTTATATGATCATTACATTATGCTAAGCATCTTCTAAGTTGTAATTCATTTTATTAGAATATTATTTGTATTAAACACAATTTGTAAAATAAACTCATTGGGAAGTTATGCAAGATATAAAAAGTATTGCTGGATTAATTTTTATAGAATGTCCCACATAAAATATTCATAATTATTTTATATTAGTTTTCTAATTTTGTATTTAGAATTTTAATAATTATAAATAGAACAGATTTTTTATAATTATATTATATAAACTTTAATTTGGAGATTTTGGAGGTAAAAATTATCACTGTACTTACTGTAAGCACTTAAAGAATAAATATAAAAGAATATTATAAGTGGTATATAAAATTACCCTGGGGATTCACAACACATTTTTTGTTATTGAAAGGGGCTCATAGAATAAAAAATGTTGGGAACTACTGGCTTAATATAAAGAACAAATGCCTAACAGTTACAGATATGCAAATGTGGAGTTGCTGCCTCACTAGAGGAGGCAAGAAATGGCAGGATTTCCCTTCACTATAGGTCTTCAAGCAAACTTGTTGCTGACGTGGTAGAAAAGATTCTTTGAGTGAATGAATGAATTGAATAAAAGAATAAATTAAAAGGCATCTATTAAGTGCCTACCAAGCATTGTGTTAAGCACCGGAGGTGAAATTACAGAAGCCCAGGGACCCTCAAACTTATATTCTAACAAGGAGAGACAACATACAGGAGAATGGTGACCAGGGAGAGACTCTTTTGTCCGGAAGTGATATGGATAGGGACAGGGATAGTAAATAGAGTCATAAGGCAAGAGATTGGCCCATTCCTTCTGGGAAAATTGGTACAGTACATTTGATCGAGATTCCAGATTTTGGGGAGGGGTGTAGTGAAGAGAGTGGTGTAAAGGGTAGTTTAAAAGGTACATATGGGGCAGAAAGGCAATTAGAGATGCTGTGAAGAAGATGGTCAGGGAAGTAGAGAATTAAGTGATTCATGGCTGGGGTATTTCTGAAATATTGGTCCAGGAACAATCCTCCAGTCAGAACAAAGGGTATGGATTTTTTTAATGGCCTCTGAGGTTCTTGATAACTCTGAGATTCTCTGATTCTATGAAATAACTAATTAAATTTCAATACTCATATTCTTAGATTGGAGAATATCACAGGAGAACATTTTTGGACCTTTCCATAGGTCTGTTGTGGTATGATGTGGAGATTAGCACTTGAGAACGAAATCCAGGATAATTTTTCAAGTGACCTGTTGGCATTGGGGTAGGTCGGGGGCAAGTGGGTAATGCATAAAAGAGGACCAGCTGGAAGGAAAAAAATATGAGAGCATAAGAGGGAGGGAGAATGAGCTGATCTCAACAGAGATGACAAGAAAGTCTGCCTATATTCCAGGGCCACATAGGCACTGGAACACAGACACAGAAAGATAGGAATGGTCATTGTTGTTTTTGGAATGCTAGAATTCATCTAATTAAAAGCTGGCAGCTTGGTCATCATACAACAGATAGAGCATTAGAGTTGGAGTCAGGATGACCTGAATTCAAACCCATCTTCAGACACATACTAGCTGTGTGACCCCAGGCAAGTCATTTTGCCTCTATGGTTCTCAATTTCCTCCTCTGTAAAATGGGGATAATAATTGTACCTATCTCACAGGAATGTTGGGAGGATATAATGAGGTAACATTTGCACACCTTAAAGTGCTACATAAATGCTAGCTATTGTTATTGTTAACCATTAGGTTAAAGGTATATGGATTCACATATGCATGTATTTGCATCAGTTGCCACTTTGAATGTTATTGTGAATCAAATGGTTGAAGTAAAAGCTGTTGGGTTGATAACATGGAAGTCACAAAGCACTTAATCTACTTTCTGTAGGGAACTAATAAGTAGTGAACTAGTAGAAATAAATATTCCTTTTTTTAAAAATGATTTATTATAAACCTAATAGTAAACATCAATAGAAATAACTGAACTTGCTTTACAACTATTTATATTTAAATAAATGAATTTCAGTGTTTAAAGTGTCATAACTTTTCAGTAGCTTCCTCCAAGATTGCTTTGGGATTCTTCATTTATCCATCCATTCTCATTCACTTTTTCTATTATATGATCATAACTTACATGCACTGTGAACTTCTGGTAGTTTTTTTTGCCTAATTTTTTTATAAAGTCCTTTCCTTATTTCTTTATATTCCTCATATAAGTTCATCATAATTGCATGATGATATTTCATTACATTAATTTATAACATTTTAACCATTCCCCTTTTGTTGGATAAACATTATTTTCCTACATTCTACTCAGGGATGCCTCTAGAATGTGCAACATTAGTATCAGCTTTGAGAAAAGAGAATTTTTCACTAGTGACTATGGAGGAGAGATAACTACAAAAAATCAGGGCTGCAACTTTATGTCAGAAATAGGTCCTGATGACCAGAAGGGGATGATATTATCCCACGTGCTCCTTATTAGGAGAATTCCTTAGGAATTCTTAGAGAAGAATAACTGCCAAGGCCCTGGCTACTGTGAGGAAAAACTATCATTTACAACTTCTTCTGTGAGTCTTACAATAACCCTGTGAAGTAACTACTAAAGTAATTATTATTCTTGTTTTATAAAAGAAGAAACAGTGTTCAGAGAGGTTAATTGATTTGTCCATGGTTCCACAATTAGTAACTGGTCAAGGCAAGATTTGAACCCTTGTTTTCCTGCCTTTCAGTTCCAGAACTCTAGCCACCATACTACTGACCCTTTTCAGGGAACTATAGTCCTACTGGTAGTAAGGGGCCTTCAGATAAAACTCTAGTATCAAAGAAAGAGAAATAGCTGCTGCCAGAGACAGCTTGGCATAGTGATTAAAGCACTGGATTTGGAGTTAGAAAGATTTAGGTTCAAGTCCTGTGCCTAACCCTGAACTTAAACCTCTCTGAAACTCGATTTTTATATCTTTAAAATGGAAAAAAATAATAGCACCTATCTCACATACCAATTGAAGTTGTTTTGAGGTTCAAATGAGTAATACAGTCCAAATGCTTGACCAACTTTAATGGCTTACAGGAATGTCACTTCATTATTATTTGTTAAAGATTTAGCCGAGCACAGGAGTTAAGACCCCATAAATAATCTACTTCAAATACTTGCATACCTCCAGTGCTAATCAGTGGCCTTCCCAAAGGCTAATAAATATGATGGTCCCAATTTAGAACTTTAGAAATCTTTAATAATGTATTATTTTCCACCTCCATCCAGGACTTGAGGTCATCTTTTAACAAACATCTTGAGAAAACCCAAATTCAAACTCTGAAGATCAAATTCTTAAGGGAGAAAATTGCCGAGTGAGCAACCAAAGTTGCAGATCTCATTTTCATCCCTTTGCTGCACAGTTTGCACTGCAGAGCAACTGCCATAAATCATCTTTGGACTGTATACAATTAATTTTATGTTCCCTGCCTGTCCTCCTCTACTTTTTACCCTGGTATCTTTTTATATTTGATTTCTAAGGTCACTCTCAGTTTGAGGGCAAATAGTTGTGCTTAATATTAAAATATCACTGGGAGATGTTATAGTAGCAAGTTTTAATAACCAAATACAGGGTCACCTTTTTCCCACAAGTTTTCAAATTAGTAGTCAGTAAGTGTCAAAAGAAAAAAAAAATAGCCCATTGCCCCATAACGCCTTTGAATAGAAGAAGATATAACCTAGGCTGGTTGCAGACCTTCTTGGAAGGGTAAAATGTTTCTCCCACCATCACTTACTCCAACAGTGATTCTTTGTTTTATTTATTATTATTACTATGGAAGTGTTTTCAGATGTCATCTGAGTTTCTTATAACTTAATTGATTTGCAGTAATACAGGAAAAATTCCTTTTCTGATCATTTTCAGAGTAGTTATTCTTCCAGATGGGAGTCTCCGGATCCTAAATGCTTCTAAATCAGATGAGGGAAAGTACGTTTGCCATGGGGAAAATGTCTTTGGTTCTGCTGAAATCCTAGCTTCTGTATTTGTAAAAGGTAAGAGAATCTGGCAATTCTATTGACATGCTCTACAAATTTCATATATACTTCTCTCCCTACCAGAAAACTTTTTGCTTGTAAACAAAAGGATATTAATATTGTGCATATGTGTACCCATAGAGTATTAGGAACATAAGAACAAATATAGACAAATACTATCTTTCTATTGTTGAAGGAGACCAGAGCACAACCTCTGAAATCATGGGACCTGGTTTCAAATCTCATTTCTGATGCTTATTACATGTGTGACCTAAGATAAGTCACCTTCCCTGTACCTCAATTTTTTTTTCATCTAAAAAAAGAGAGGGTTGAACTAGGTGTAGGAGTTCCCTTCCAGCTCCAAATCTATGAATTTCTAAACCTTGGTGGGTGTGGGGGAGGTATAGGGAGTCTGCCACAGGAGTACTGATTTCTTTTTGAATAAAAACTAAAGAAGCAAAGGGCAACTTTTTGAAATTTTGCCTGTTGCCCAGACATAAATATCTGGTTCTCATATCAACATTAAACCCACCATATTTTAATGACAGCCATTTGAAGTTGGTCTAGAAACAAGTTAGGTGGGTAGTAATTATTTCAAAAAGTCAGGGGGTAGGAGAATGAAGATGGGGCATCAGTTGCACTTGATTAAAAACAATTAGCTGCTACTTGACATTCTCACCTGTAAAATGGTGGCAATACACTAATAATTGATAAAGTGATAATACTTGACAAAACTATTGTAATCATCAGAGGACCTAGGTTCAAATCCTTATTGTGGCACTTACTAGCTGGGTAACTTTGGGCAAATCATTTAACCTCTCTAGATCTCAGTTTTCTTATCTGTAAAAGTGGGGTGGCTATACTAGATTGTCTCTAAGGTCCTTTCCAGCTCTTTATTTATGACCCTATGATTTCATAATCTATCAAAACCACTTTATACACTTTATAAAAAAAGTCACATTTTACAAATATGATGTAACTTCATCAACATTCTAAAACAATCCTGGCACACAGCAGGTGCTTAATCAATGCTTAGTGACTGATTGTCAAACAAAAGTCATTTACTAAATTTCTACAGCGTGCCAAGCATTGTCCCAGACTTTTCCTGTAGCTTCTTTTGGAAACAATGACTGTGATGCTTTTCATGACATCTGTTCTTCCCAGTATAATCAAAAGGAAAACTAGATGTCAGATATATATATATATAGATATATATATATAGATATATAGATATATATATATACTCTAATATGATGAATGTGTCATAGTTTAAAAGCAGCAGAAGCAAACACTTGAAGCAGAGAATATCAACTAGCAATGCCCATCACAACAAAACTAGGAACATGATGTAATGCTTTTATCCACACATTTCAATGGATAGATAGGAGATAATATAAACAGAGTATGTTTTGTTTTTTACCTTATAAACCTTCATACAATACAATTTGATTAACTAGAACCCTAACTTTTTGTGCAGTTCTAGATTGTCTATAAGGTCCTTTTCAGATATTCATTTATGATCTTATGGTCTCATAACCCAACAAAACCACTTTATACACTCTTAGAAGTGTTATAAATGTGACCTATCATCATCAACATCATCATCATCACCAGTGAGTTCTGGCATATAGGTGCTTAATAAAAAGCTGGGCTCTCAGTCAATGAAGAATCATTTATTAAGCACCACTGTGTACCAAACACTGTGCCAGACTTTTTCTGTGGTATCTTTTAGAGGCAATGACTCGGCCTTTACGAGACACACAGATGAGATGAAAGCAAACTGGTACACTGGTATTATTCTTAAAAAAGAAACTTTCAGTGGTTACCACAGACATAAAGCAATTTTCTATACTTTGTCTGTCTATAGATTTCTATCATCACCATTGATATGATTCATAATAATTAGCCTGAGGCAATGCAAGATTCCAAATAATCAAAGACAAATTCAATTATATTAAGTAAAACCTATCCACTAAAGCAGTAGGGAGTTGTTGTTCAGTCATTTTCAGTCATGTTCAACTCTTCATGACACCATTTGGGCTTTTCTTGGTAAAGATACTAGAGGGTTTTGCCATTCTTTCTCGAACTCATTTTTTTTATTTTAAACTTCTTTCCTCATTTTTTTAATGATTTATTATTAATTTATTTATTTTTAGTTTTCAACATTCACTTCCACAAGATTTTGAGTTCCAAATTTTTTCCCTGTCTCACCCCTCCCCCAACCCAAAATGTGCATTCTGAATACCCATTCCCCTAACCTGCACTCCCTTCTATCCCCCCCTTCTTTTATCCCCTTCCCCTTCTCTTTTCCTATAGGGCAGGATAGATTTCCATACACCATTGCCTGTATATCTTATTTCCCAGTTGCATGTGAAAACAATTTTTAACATTTGTTTTTAAAACTTTGGGTTCCAAATTTTCTCCCTTCTTCCCTCCACACCCACCCTCATTGAGAAGGCAAGGTACTTGATATAGGTTATATATGTGTAGTCATGCAAAAAACTTCCATAATAGTCATGTTATAAAAAGCTAACTATATTTCCCTTCTCAAACTCATTATTACAGATGAGGGAACTGAGGCAAACAGAGTTAAATGACTTGCCCAGGGTCACACTGCTGTAAGTGTCTGAGGCCAGATTTGAATTCAGGAATATGAATTGTACTAATTCCAGGCCTGGTGCTCTATCCACTATGGCACCTAGCTGACCTAAAACAGTAAGGAGACCAATATCCTTGTAGAATATATTCAGTGACAGAGATTGAAAAAGGTTTTCTTCTTAATCCTTAGTTAACCAGAATCTTTGTTTATCCACAATACTGTATCCTGATTAAATTAAGTTTGTGTGTTCTGCCTTCTCTGAAGATGTTAGTTTCTTGATTGTACTATACAGGGTATTTAATTTCTTGAGATTTCATACTTAAATTAAGTTCTGTCCTATGGTACGTTTTTTCACTCATAAAGGCTCCTTAGAAGTAATTCAAATATTAGGGAATTTAATATTTCTGATGCTTTGATCCAGGAATGTCACAAAGGGGAACTCTCTGTGGATTTACAGAGGTATCATCATATCATAATACAGTCCAACCCCTTATTTTATTCATGAGGAGACTGAATCAGAGCGAGGTTAAGTAACGTACCCAAGGTCACACAGATACAGAATTTGAACCTAGGTCCTTTGATTCCAAAGTTAGCACAATCCTCCTAAGATGGGTGAGATCCTACAAGACCAGCAAAGATAGGATTCTCTCTGCCTTGTGATTCCACACATATTATTGCATACCACAGAGTCAGGACAGGAGGATCTGGAGAAAAGACAAAAAATACCAACATGATACTAAAGTACATATTTCATGTTGCCCTTTCTCTTTGTCTTCAAAAACATAATACCACGTTGGATTGCTAAAAGAAAAGAGCATATTGGAAATTCTATGTTGTCTTTCCAATTTAATCCTAGTTGGTAATACTACATTTCAGAAGAATATAACATGGCATTCTCTAGTCCAAAATGCCAAGATGCCAAAGAGTAAGATTCATTTTCATGATTTGCAGCAGGGTACTTTTAACTTGGGCTTAATCAATAGTCTGTTTTTCTTTTTCTTCCGACAAACCAGTTTAATCACTGTTTTCACTAAATTGAACAGTTATTCAGGCATCAAGTAGCAGTAACATTTATTAACTCTCTTCTCTCCTCTTCTGGAATAAGTGGCATTTCCTAATTAAGTGAATGTTGACCAAGTGAACTACACAGTGGGATTTCCATTATACAGTGAATGTATCTAATACAAAATTGTAGTTGGGAAGCAGATAATTTATCTTATCAGGATTCTATTTATTTGAATTAACAATTGGAAAGTATAGTATTTATATACTTTCAACAATTGCAATATTTATGTTCTGTTGTAGGTTTTTAAGTTAAGCTAAATACTAAATGTTTCATGGAAATCAGTCTCACCATTTCTTCCTTTATGTATTGTCATAGAACCTACAAGGATAGAACTTACTCCCAAGAGGACAGAATTAACAGTGGGAGAAAGCATTGTCCTCAATTGCAAAGCAATTCATGATGCCAGTTTGGATGTCTCTTTCTACTGGACTTTGAAGGGACAGCCTATCGATTTTGAGAAGGAACGCGGACATTTTGAAAGTATCAGGGCCGTAAGTGAAACATATTTTTATTTTTGTGTGTATCACAAATTTCAGTGGACAGCTTTTCCCAACTATTAAATTCATATCAAAATAGAAAATAATTGACTCAAAACAATAGCTTTAGTCCATACTTTAGACTTATAGCAAACATTCAAAATAATGATAATTATTTAGGGACCCCAATAAGAAATAAATGACACTTGCTTCCCCAATGGGTATATAAAACTTTGATTGGAAATTATTTAGCATATTAGCAGCTCTCTTACATTATATTACCATTTCTTACCTTAGAGCATGCATAATAGTAATGGGAAAATGTACACATTTTAGTCTTTACATTCCTTCCTAGAAATTATAATTTTTAAAAAAGTGAATAATTTCTTATAAGTTGCAGTTTTACCATAAAATCTGTGATCTGAAAACCTTATGGGTGATTTGTGTCTTACACAAGCGTCTGTAATCATTTAGTTTTTGGTCCTACATTCTTTTTTCATCCTATTATTTTTCTACATCACAAGCAACAAAATGGTTCAAAATGTTTCCTGCTCCAAGTTCTCCATAACTATTTGGGATGGTTTTCTAAATTGAACTTTAGCTGTATGTCTAAAATAGAAAGAAAGATAGGGTTAGCAGTAGAATTTAGCTTTCTTCATGATAACGAAAAAGACATTCTGGTTGGAAATGTCTCTTCCAAATGACTAAAAAGATTAGTTGAAATTAAGTGTTTTGATCAAAGTCCTACTGCTCTACTATCAGCAACCTATTGGTTAGTAGCAGGTTATTCCTTCCCTAATTTTCTCTTATTATTTATACATGCCATCATAGTTCCCAAATGCCAATATAACATACTCTTGGTTTGTTTGTTTTGTTTTGTTTTTTCAAGAAATTTGGTCATCTGTTCAATAGCATAAAATTCACGCCTTAGCTATTTTTTTCCATTTTATTTTCCTTGATATGATTCAGCAGAAGGAAGCAACACCTCAGAATATTCATTTCACTCTGGCTCAACTTTTGATCACAGAGTAAAATATAAATATAAAATTGCCACTGTGCCATTCAACAGATCCAGTCAACTTTCAAAATTAAAGGGGTTTAATCCATGATGAATAGGACCTATTAATATTTGTGCTCTATTAAATTGCCCTCATTGTTCTGTTTTTTCCTCTTCCCTTTCATTGAGCTAATAACTCCACAGACCAATGAGTTGAATGTTATGTCATGAATTTCATGAAATTGAACCAAGGAAATTTGCCAGTATTGGACTGAAATGTTTTTTTAAGTGTTATTCTATTTGATTATAAAATACTTTATAGTAAGGGGAATAGGTATATAAAAAGGAAACCCTAAAATCTAAAAAGTAATGTGTACTTCCTCCCTGTTAACAGGTACCCCATGAATTTTTAAATACTATTCAAGTAGACTAATGAACTTCATGATGAAATTATGGATTTGCCCTTGTGGTAGTCATACAACCCTGGTTGAATACTTTCATTTGTGTCAATAAACACTTTGGAACCCCTTTAGAATTCTGTTTTTCAGGATAATAGTGCCTGTCAGCTCAGGCTATTAATAAATATAATCATTGTGTTTGGGGGATCCATAATTTGATCACTTGACATGTAAGTTCACATAGCAAGAAACCATGACATAGTGTGCAGCTGAGAAATGGAAGAGCAAGAACTTTTTTGTATTCTACTGAAGTAAGAGAAAATAGCTTCTCATGAGAAAATTTGAGAGTGATTTTGATACAGTTAGAATAACTGAATGAAATGTGTGTATCAAGGTAGACAATAAGGAAATCTAGAAATTGGATTTATATAGCACATGTAAAATCAAAATAGACATTGGCTTCTCTGTGCAGTGCTAAAACAAATAATGTTTTAGTGAAAAAAGGCAGTGACTTTGGGTTTAGCTTTACATAAATCATAAAAATGGTAATTTTGGATTTTTTTTTTTTACCTTTCAACTCAAATGTTGCTGTCTTGGATGCACAGTCGGAGATGGGTATATGCTCAATTCTGTTGTAAAATTGATCTTAAAGCATTAGTCTGATGACGTCACCTCCCCTATTCAATCCTCCAAGATCAAATATAAAATCCTCTATCATTTAAAACCTTTAAAACCCTGACCCTTTTCCTATCTTTCAAGCTTTCCTCATACTCTAAGATCCAGTGAAACTGGTCTCCTTGTTTTTCCTTACCCAAGACACTCCATTCTCCAACTGATCATTTTCACTGGCACCCCATCCCTCCACCATGCCTTGAATTCTCTCCCTCCTCCTCTCTGTCTTATGGCTTCCCTGGCTTCCTTTAAGTCCCATATAAGGTCCCACCTTCTACAAGAAGCCTTTCTTGTTCCTCCTCCATTCTAGTGTCTTCTCTCCAAATCTTCTCCAGTTTATCCTTTCCATATTGTCTTTGTGCATAGTTGTTTGCATGTAGTTTCCCCTATTACACTGTGAGCTTCTTGAGATCAAGGGTTGCTTTTGGCCTTTATTTGTAGTCTCAGTTCTTGACATAGTGGCTACCATACAGTAGGGTCCTCATAAATTCTTGCTGTTGGGCTGTCTAAAATTGAAAGACTATTAATATTTGCCATTCTAATGTGTATTATTATATTTCATATGAAATAACTCTGTACTTCAATTAGAGATAATAATTAAGGATATATCAAACTTAGAAAATCATAAATACCACTTTAAAATGTGAAGTTTGAGGACTGTAGTACTATGATGGGTGTATTTCTAGTTTTATGCTTATTCTTTGTAGACCATGTCTACATAATACCTGGTATGATGTGTACAACTATTAAGGGAAAACCATTCACTCAATATTCAAATAATCAATCCAATTTAGGCAGATAACTTCTTAGACAGTGATGTGACTTAACCAGAAAATAGTCATTTTAGTATGCAGTGTAGAGTTGGCATCAAGCAGGATGAATTTGGGTGAGTACAGAGAAAATGAGTCAAGATTTTCATATTTTTTTAGTTTCATTTCATAGTAGATCGTCTAAGTAAAACATCAGAAATCACATTTTTAAGCTCTGGTTTTCTGGTACAAGATAGATAGAGTTATAAATGAATTTCTACACATACATCATTAATGCAAACTAAATATCAGAATGGTTAGTAACCTATTAACTTTTTTGTCAGTCAGTCAATAAAAATCTGTTAAGCACATGCTACTTGCTAGGAATTACGCTAAGGGCTGGGAACATAAAAAGATAGTCCCTGTCCTTAAGAAGCTCACAGTCTTACAGGGGAGAAAATATGCAAGCAATTATGTACAAACAAGCTACATAAATAAGAAATGGGATAAATAGAAGATAAACAACAGAAAGATACTAGAGTTAAGAGGGACTTGAAAAGACTTCTTATAGAAAGTAAGGTTTTAGCTGGGTCTCAAAGGAAGCCAGTAAAACCAGGATGCAGAGATAAGGAGTGAGAGAATTCTAGATCACCAGTGGAAATGTCTCAAATCAGGAGAGGAAGTATCTTCTGAGAGGAACAGCAAGAAGGCCAGTGAATGGTTTTGTGCATTTTGAAAATTGTTTCATGGATTACACTTCAGTTCTATATCTCATTTGGAAAACTCTGCTGTACCTTCAATGAGTCTAAGCTGCTGTCTGCCACAAAACCCACTCTATAATTCCAGTGCCCAGTCTTCCTTAATCTTTTTGCCTTCCTTCTTAGATTATCCCTAATTTATCATATATGTATATATATATATGTATGTATGTGTGTATATATATATCATTTGGGTCCTTTTTGAGAATGAAGGACCACAATCAATGACATACCACATATAACCTTAAATCTGACTCTCACCCTAACCCTAACCATGCACTCATACACTTGAGTCCTGTAGACAGCATTACCCCAGGTTCAAGCTCAGGGGACAATCTCATTGTCTATCTCCTACCTAACCACATCTCTAGCCTTGCACACAAATATGTCAGCGAAGTCTTTTCAGGTTTGAACTTCCCTTACATTTCTTTGTTTCATGGGTCCTCATGAGTCCATGGGTTTCATGGCAATATTAATTGCCAAGTGGTCAGTGGTGATAGACCTCACCAGGTTTAGCTAGGCTAGTCCTCAGAAAGTAGACATAGTCTATTGCCAGTCCAATAGTTGAAGTTTTTCTAGCATATTGAAACCTGCCTTAGCTACCACAATGAAGTATTGCAATGGTACTTTGTAGAGGCAAGAGCAATAAAAGGTCATGAAGGCCTAAATTTTAAAATACAGTCTAATTGCTTTAGGAGGTCAGAAAAGGAAAATAACAATAATAATAATAATAATAAAAAACATGGTCTGAAAGAGTGAGGGAGACTTCATGGAAAAAATGGAGCTTGTTTAGTACCTGGAAGACAGAATTTCAACAAGTAGGGAGGAGAAAGAGGCAGCTAAGTGGTGCAGTGAATAGAGTGTAGGACCTGGAGTCAGGAGGATCTGAGTTCAAATGTGGACTCAGACACTTACTAGCTGTGTGTCCCTGGCCAAGTCACTTAATCCTGTTTTCCTCAGTTCCTCATCTATACAATGATCTGGAGAAGGAAAAGGCAAACCTCTCTAGTATCTTTGCCAAGAAAACCTCCAAATGAGATCACGAAGAGTCAGACAAGACTGAAATGACTTAACAACAACAAAGGGAGAAGGAAAGATAATATAGGCAAGGAAAAGAAGTAAAGGCAAGCATGAGTATAGTGAATACCATAATAGTAAAAGAAACTAGTGTGATTGGGACAGGGTTTGTGTTGAGGAGCAGTGAGAGATTAAACTAGATACACCAAGTGGGGCTAGGCAATGAAGGAATGCCTCTCCTAACAGAGGAGTTTGAATTTGAATCTGTAGGTAGAGACCAAAAGCAATTTTCATAGGATCACAGATTTACAGGTGGAAGGAACCTCTTAAATTATCTAGTCCAAACATCTCATTTTATATGAGGAAATAAGTTTGGGGGAGTTAAATAACTTACCCCAAGGTGATACATATGGAAGTCATCAGA